CGTGGTTAGAAGCATGCTCACACGCTGTCCTGTGGTGTGGACACTGGAGACTTGAGACCACTGGACCATGCCCTAAGGACTGGTGGCTACAGACACCTAGAGGGACATTCTGTACCTATTTCAATACTTACTCCAACTCTCTTTGCTAAGAACTGAAAAGACTTTGCTAAGAACTGAAACAAAAACTGCACACCTGTTCACGTCTACACAGTGAAGCTGGTAACAATTTTGGTATCTCCTTGAAATAGCATTTCTATTGGGAATAATAATAACCAATGCTAGAATGTTTCCATCACAGTGAAGTGAGCGAACCTGAGAACACTGTTTATATATCCAGGGTAATAAACTAACTGTGAGAGCAACCATAACCATTTACAAAGTGAGGTCTTAAAAAAAAAAAAAGGAAGGTTTACCTACATGCTTTCAAGTAAACTCGCAGAAAGGTGCTACTGGCAGATTTGCTTGTTAAGCTTGATTGAGAAGGGACGATTGTTTAGTAGACCTGTTCAGCTCAAGCTCTGATTGCATGGCTGCAGTCTGTGCCCTGCTGTAAGAGACTGGGTGAGGCAAGTGAGGTGCCTGGTGAGTGAAATCTACGGAGGCAAGAACTCTCAAACCAACCCTGCCCTTGTGATTCCTCTGCACTTCATCCCAGCCTGAAGCTAATACAGATTCTGTGCTGACAACCCGAGATGCTCGTGGATGGCTTAAAACAGGCATTGGAGGGACTCAAAACGGGGCCCAATGGCTCCTTAATTCTATAGACTTCCAGGCACAAACGTCGGGGCTTGTCCTTGAGAAAACTACCAGCATGGCCTTTTCACCTGGATCATCTCTTGTTCCTTTGCCTACAATAACCTGCTTCACACCTTCTTAGTTTGGGAAATCCTGCTTGCCCTTCCTCTCAGTGTTTCCTTACAGAATCCATTGGTGTCCGTGTCTTACAGGAGGATGGCAGTTAATATAACTGAATCTCTCATGTGTGGGACTCACAGGCAGTGCGTGGGCAGGAAGCTGGTGTTTCACAACCCTTAATGGGGGAGATATTTGGCAATGCCTGGATACTCAACTCTAAGAAGTAATCAGCTGACCGGGTGGAATTTGCTTTAGGAGCTATCAGAAAGAACTTCAATTGCCAAAGAGACTCTAATTATCGTTGTAGGGTTTTAATAACATTATGTTATGAGAATGCTAACTGCAGCATTGTTTATAGCGGCACAAAATAGGAAATGACCAAAATGTCCATGAAAGGATGACTACATAATCCCAGGTGCTTGAATCCTAGGGAGTTAAAAGAAATTAGATGGAGAGTAGCCTTATATACTCTGACTTGGAAAGATGTTTAAGTTATGTTTTTGAATGAAAAAGGGAACTAGAAGAACAACACATCTAGTAGGAAACTGCAAATAAAAACAACAAAATTAATTTTGTATATTTTTTTCTTGGCATAATTATTCACTGACAAATGCAAAGGAAAGTGTTTAGAAACATGCATATCAAACATGCACAAGTGTTAGATCACACTTGTGTGGGAAAGGGGGCCAGGACTGGGGTGATAATCTAAATTGGCTTTTTAAACAGAGTAAAAACATGTATATTTTTTTGTAATTAAACATCTGTAAGTGAAAAGCTAAATATTTAATGGCAGCATTGTAGCAGCTACAACAGATTACTGAATCTGTGCTTATGAAATGCCACTGAATCAACATAGAGCCAAGTGACATCTGGGGTCAGGGGCTGGAGTGGTATTCAGAAGGGCAGAAAGTCCTTTTTCAATTTCATCTACACTTTATCTCTTGCCAACTCTTGAGCTGGCTACGGACACCGCAAATGGGAATTTGATGATACTGGGGCCTTCTTTGAGGGTGATTTCAGGCCCCTGTCCCAGCTAATGGTCTTCCTATTCCTGATGCAAATGTGTAGTTTAGACAGTATGTTGATCTGTGGGGTTATGATTGATACCCCTGTCCCCGACCTTAGCCCATACGGCGCTATGCAGGTGGTCACTCTTCCACCTGCGAGCCCCTTACTTTTGAGAGCAGGGCATTCATCCTATCTGCTGATAACTGGTATTAATCATATGTTCCTTTTACACAAACTTGCTCACTGATGCTGATGCTTTTCTGCAGAAAGTTTAAATGGAATGGATGAAACCAGCAGATGTGGTAACTCAAGAAAAATCCCTTAGGGTCAGATGCTCTCAGGTAATGCCCACTGATAGGAACAACCTTCTGAGAGTGGAGGTGGAGCCCTAGGAAGTAATATCTGTGATTGTGTGATTAATAAACATAACTGCATTGACAAACATTTATATACCTGGACACATATTGCCGAACCACTTTTTTAATTGAAATTTTAGTTTTATAGGGCTAGATGAAAAATCCCATTGAATAGAATATTATAAATTATTCATCTCTGATGTTTTATTTTATATAGGTTAGGATTTATTTGGGTTTCACATACTGAGTTCACCAAAGGAATGGTGAAACCTATTCAGGGGTAGCTGAAAAATGTGTGTGTGTGTGTGTGTGTGTGTGTGTGTGTGTGTAAATATATGTATATAATTATAAAATTAAAATACATATATATTCTCAATAAACTGAAAAGTGAGGGGTCATCAGCCTTTATTCTGCCTTATTACAGTGATTTGAGTAGCATCTGGAACAATTAGACCCCTCTGTACTTCAGCCTCCTCTCATTAATACCAAAGAGAGAATAGTATAACTCCCCTGACTGACAGTGAAAAAAAATCAATTCTGAAATTAGCTTCAGGGGCTCCTAATGCCCTTTACAATGTCTAAACATGCTGGTACATGCAAGTGATAAAAGTCCTGTCTTTGGCATTTCTTCACCATTAAGTTTAGTTATTTCACCAGCCCTTTTCAATTTCTCCCATGATGCTAGATGCTGAAGACCTCACCGACCCATTGCTGTAAAAATGTTATTTGTATTTTTCTCAGATTTTGTGTTTCTCTTCAAATAAATCACAGCTTATTTCTTTATTCAATCAGAGATAAGAATATCTGGCGTATGTGTCTATGTTTTTTCCCTCCTTCTGCAAACAGTTTGAATGGAACGGATGAAACCAGCAGATGTGATAACTCAACAAAAATCCCTTAGGGTGAGATGCTCTAAGAGTAGTATATATTATTTTGGTAATTTTTTAAAATTAAAAAAACTTTTAAAATTTCAAATACAAAAGTACATAAATGGAAACATGAACATCCTCTCCTCTGTATTGCAGCTCGCCTGAGAAATGAGAAGGGCAATTGTCAAGTAATGCTGGTCTATTGGTGAGGTACCTACTCTCTCCCTCCCTCCCTCTTTCCCTCCTTCCACCCCTTCTTCTCTCCCCCTCCCTCCCTCCCTCCTTCCCTTCCTTCCTTCCTTTCCTCTTTTTAACTTTTCAATATCAGAATTCTCAAATATGCACAAATGAGAGAAAATAGTATCATAAATACCCATGCCCTCATTAACTTATCTTCAAAATTTAATAAACCTATCCCTTTTTCTAATATTTTAAAACAAATGCCATATACCATGTATCTCTAAAAGATAAGGTTTCTTTTTTTAGCCTAACCAAAATATCATTATGACACCTAAATATATAATATATTTAGTTAATATAATAGAAATATTTAGATTCAGATATAACCTGATATCACCTGTGGTGGTCAATTTTATGTGTCAACTTGCATGGGCCTCAGGATGGCCAGATATTTGGTCAAACATTATTCTGGGTGTTTCTCTGAGGGTGTTTTTGGATGAGATTAACATTTAAATCAGTAGACTGAGTAAAACAGATTGCCCTCCCTAATGTGGGTGGGCCTCTTCCAATCAGTTGAAGGCCTAAATAAAACAAAAATGCTAACCCTCTTCTGAATAAGAGAAAATTTGTCCTGCCTGACTGCCTTCAAACTGGACAGTGGCTTTCTTCCTGCCTTCATACTCAGGTGGAAACATCAGCTCTTCCTGGGTTTTGACCCTGCTGACCTTCAGACAGGAACTACACCATCAGCTTTCCTGGCTCAGCATCAGAGTTCAGACTGGGACTGGAAACAAACCATCTGCTCTCCTGGGTCCCCAGCTTGCCAACTCTCACCCTGCTGATGTCAGGATTTGGACTTGCCCACCTCCATAGCTGGATGCTCCCATTCCTTATAACAAATCTCTTTAAATACATATATATATATATAAATAAAATCTCCAATTGGAGATAGAAAAAGATATCTCTGGAAAACCCTGATTAATACATCACTAATCACCAGACCCCAGTCCATTTCCCCATATGGCTCAAAAATGTCTTTTAATAGTTTTTTTGAATTAGAATCCAAATAAGTTCCACCCACTATTTTCTAAGTCCATAAATACCAGTTACAGTTGTGGGAAAGTCACAGAATGGTTTCCCTTTTATGGTATTTCTTAAATAATATTGGATAAACCCCACAACACAGATCACTGAACACAAAATTTAGACTCTGATTCCAGATTTATAAAGATCAGAATGCACACCTTCAATGTGTCAAGACTGGACAGAGAGAACATGAAACACATTCCTACTAACACTAGGATACTCTTGAAAAGTCAATGAGCTTCTTTTCTGCCTCAAGTTTCCACATCTATAAAACAGGAAATGCACATGGGAAATATTTGTTTGGCCTTCCACACAGGGATGTTGTGAAGGTAAAAGGTAGCCTCATGTGATTAACTAGTTCTGAAATAAAGTATCAAAAAATGAAGATATGTATATATTATCATCATCGCCACCTTCATCCAAGGAACCTGTTTTGTTTCTTTGTTTGCAACTGGGGTCTTATTCTCAGATGAAATTTGCACTATTAATGCAAATTTGTGCTGCGTTATTAAAATGAACAAAAGCAAGTAAATCAGTGCTGTAATGAAATAGGCCTGGCGTTTGATCAGAAGTAATTCTGTAAGTTTAACACAGGCTGAAAAGCAGCAGAAGTTGACCTCCTAAGGCCACTGCTTCAGACACTCACCCAGTACTGTTGAGGTAACTCTGTCCCAAGCTGCAGTCCTTCGACAGAGAAGATGGATTGAACCAAAAGGCTGGCAGGCACTGACCATTGCTGTGTCGCTCATAACCATAGTCACTGTTGGGAAAAGAGTCAAGAGAAACCTTTCAGTAGACGGCAACATTACTGACAACAATTGCACGTCAGTCCACAGCCAGCTTCTACCCTGGTCAGTTAGTCAAAAAACAGGCATTCACTGAATCAAAGCCTTTCCAAAAATGGAATCTTTTTTTTCCATGGAATATCTGTCAATTACCCATGAAAACATTCTACAGAAGCCATTTTGAGAAATGCTAGCTCGGAGGCCACAGGGGTGCATGTGTAGAGAGGAAAGCTCAATGCCCAATAATTCCCATTAAACACCTTTAAGGTGGGAGAGTAGATGTTGTTCTCATTGGGGGAGGCACAGTACTGATTGTGGTTGGGCCCAGAGAAAGGTATAATGGTGGAGGTCGTCCTTAGTGTCAAGTTTCACTGAAGAGTTTAAGGCATTCACATGTGGCATAATCCTCATTACTAGTGATGTCTTTGGGGTGCTCTTCCAAGACATCTGGATCTAGCAAGGAGAGCTGAGCCAGGTCTCTCTGTGCACAAGCCATATGCTTCAAAGTCATAGCAGGAAAGGAAATGTCCTTCAGGACTGCTGCAAGCATTCCCCCAAGGAAAAGCTCCGTCCTATGCCGTTAATGCTGCCAGTTGCTTTAAATCTGCTCTCTAGTTTGAAAATAGTCAAAGACTTTTCTCAGCCTCCTCGCATTCTTATCTCCAGGAGCCTCTGAGTGGTCTGATATTCTTGGCTTCTGAAAGATGAAACCGGGCGCAGAGTATGGCAACAAATTGCGCCTCCACACGCACAGATAAATCGCAGGTGGCCATCAGTGAGCATTAGTATGAACTGGCCCATCTGTGTAATGGAAGTGAGATACTGGCACACGAGGGTTGGGGAAGGAGAATTAGGTTTGCCCAGGGGCCTGTCACCAGGCAGCTGGCACCTAGAATTCTGCCCATACCAGCTGGATTTGGTGCTGATGCAACACAGCACGGGTAGGAAGACTTCAGGAACGCTGCCTACAGGACACCCAGTGTTCAATTAAGGAAATTATTTTACAAACGCTGAAGAATAACAGGCAAGGTCATCTGGTGGAGGGCTGTCCAGGGGAGAGCCAAGCCAAGAGAGAACATTCAGTGACAACCACCTTTCATTATGCTATAGTCAAGAAGAATCACTGAAGCTCTAGCTACTAGTAGAAATCAATAAGAGTTTGGCGATCCTTCCAAAATATTTTCAGAAATCACGCAGTTACAAAAATCCCATTTGACCAGGTAACCTTACGATGGCCTTGTTCATGCTGCATTTCCCACTTCTCCAATTACATTTTAGTTAGTGGGATGAGCAGCAGATTCCAATCACGAATGCAGGAATTGGGCCAAGACTAAGGGGAGTGAGAGACCGGGGAAGGGGGAAACTTAATTGATTTTCCTACCCTGTGTTCTTTTCACCCTAGTCAAGCTTAAAATTGAGAAGAAAACAACACATGACAACGCCAACAGCAAAAGACTAGCTTATGTTGGAACCTTGTAGAAAAGATTCCCAAAGGAACAAACATTTCCAGAAGAAATCAGGGAATTGGGACTTACTTTTTCTCTTTGGTTTTCTATGTGAAAATAAATTTGCTCTCTGCCAAAGAATGACTGTTTGTTAAGGCCGAAGTCAAACCACTAAGATAAAAAGTTAACTCCCCATACGGTTCCTCCTTGAATAGGGTGAGTGAAGGAGAAGCAGTCAGGTTTCAGAAAGAGGGACATGATGAATGACACACTCTCCATGGAACTTTTCCCTGTGAATGTATTTCAGGATGTCAATCCTGAAAGGTAGGACAGAGATAAAATATTTTTGTCATTGTAACAATGTTACACTGACTGAAACAGAAGTCAGGGCTGGGGAGGCCCTCCCAGAATTCCTTGTGAGCCCCCATGTAACTGAAGCTCTGCCTTCCCTCTGGCTGAGCCCGGAGAGATAAAAGAACTGACTCTTGGCTTGCCTTCTTTACCAACAGGAGAGGAACAGCCTTGGGTTATCGGTCTGAGTTCTGGCAGCCAGTTTGCCAGGCCTACCAGTACTATTGATTTAGAGAATGCTCCTGTCATGGTAGCATGACAGATGACTTCCTTTTTCTAAGATATGTGACGCGTAAGTACACAGTATTTCAGCCCAATCACTGATATTTTGATGATCAGATACGTGACCGATGCTCGTTATGCGGCTAATATTGTTACATGAATGTCTTTGGTTCTTACGTTGGCCAACTTTCAATTATTTGACACTGATATACACATTTAGCAAATGCTTTCTCTAAACCAAAAGCATATAAATACATTTTATAAAGAAGAAGGAAAAAAAGGAACAGAAGGTGAGATGGACATGATCAAGGGAGTTACCACCTACTTATCCTCAGCCATATTTCAACCTCATCTGAACGTCAAAACCAGAACAAAGCAAGGGCATCACTGGACCCACAAGCTAGCTTTCTGCTTAACTAATGCTCCAGAAAGAACACTGTGGCACTCTGAGTATATTTAACTTCTCAATGTCTTAGTACTTTTCCAGTTTAAACTAGCTTAATCCTGGTAAAGGAAGAAGTCTCTCTTACCGCTGGGTTCACAAAGCCACAGACGGCAATACCAGTGATTCCATTCTTGCGCTGAATTCAGAAAAGTCTTCCATGGGCGTCACAAGCAATAGTCAGCTAACCACTGATTGAAAACATCCAGGTATAGACAATTTACTGCCCTACACGATCACTGTTCCACTACCAGGAACCCTAGATTCTAGAAAGGCTTTTATCTTGAGCACAAATATATTCGCTCCCTGAAACGTCCACTTATTGTTTTCAGTGTTGCTGTATGAGGAAACTCAGGGTCTATCTAGTCTCTCTTTTTGTCCTGAGATCTGTCAAATATATGAAGATAATTACCAGCCATCTTCTGAGCCCTCCTTAAGTCTAAAGAAACCCCTGGTTTTTCCATATACACACGCACATAGCTAGTAAGCCATGATGTCCCCAAGTGGTAATTTCACATGAATGTAGGCTTGTCACTTGGATCTATGCATGTTACTATTATTTGATATCTAAGCTTTCATTAAGGCCCACGTGGGTCTGAAATACTAGACGACTCTATGGGATAACAGTACAAGCTCACCAGTCAAAATCAGCCTCTGTGCAGACACAGGGTTCAGACTCCATAGCTCCTGCATATTTCCCTTGCATACATTTCCGCTCTGATTTTCTCTTCTTATATATCCTTTTCGCTCCCATGATGCATGCTTCCCCCTGTAAGGAGACAAGAATCTCATGCAGTCGGGCACATAGCTTGGACCTTCCCTACTCCACATCAGGACAGTTCCGGGAGATGGTCTCAAACCTTAGGTGTAATGTAGACATACGCAGTCTGCTTTGTGCTAACAGCATTTCCTTTTCGATTCTAGAGCCCTATCACAGAACATGATGATAAAGGCAATCCTAAGAAGCACTGAGGGTGTGTCCGGAAGTCCAGAACTCTATGTATTCAGCAAATCTTTACTTGGCAAGGTATTAAGTACAGTGCTATGAGGGGCACACAGATAACTAAGACAACCTGCAACAGTGTATGGCCAAAAAAATTTGTAGTAATTAAGTTCAATTCTTCTGTAATAAAAAATGTATACATTTGGTCATTTATGAGCATATGAAAGAAGAATATTGCTAAGAAACATAAAGGTCCATTTTGCCTTGATTTATTATGCCTCTGCCCACACAACTTTATAGCACTGATTTTATATCCATCTACCAGATAAGCAAGAGCACTAAATTCGGTGTTTCTCCACAAGATAAATAAAAGCTTTGAATACCCCAATGCGTGTGCACTCCAAAGGGGGAAACATCAGTTACGTAAATGAGCGACCCTTTGATTGTTGAGCCTCCGAGGAGAGTGGGTGATTCTAGCTGATGTAGCTCCCACTGTCAAACCCAGCTCTCTGTGTGTGTGTCTGAAGGACCAGACGGAGTTTTGTCTAAGCTAGTCTGCACTGTCTTTCTTGAGCAAACTCACTTTAACCAGCTGCATTACACATCTACATGTAATTATATGATTTAGTCTAGGTTTGGGGTATATGATGTGTCACGCTCTGAATATGGTGATGGCTTTGCAAGCAAGGGCCTCTACCATGTGCTTTGAGAGGCCGGCAGAATGAGTTCTGCCTTGGGAAGTCGAAGGAGAGATGCTTTCAGCCAAGCATTCTGATATGAGCGGGGTAGCAGAGGGGCCAGGATGAAGGAAATTTTCCTATTAATAATTCTGCATCCTTATATCACAAGTACCTTGGAAGGAGGCAAGAAGCGCTACCTAATCCCAGGGAAGCATAGCAGTGGGGAGGAAGAATTTTATTGGCACCGCTCATGCAGCATAACTTTGTTATTTCATGTTTCTGTTTGCATTGCCAGATAAAACTGAACAGCCTTTCCTCACCCTTGCCCCCATACCCTGCAGCCAGATGACACGCTCAGATAAATTATGCTTGGATCTCCATGCTGAGTTGGTATTTCATTCTGAGTTGTAAGTCTTAGCCAAGCACATTTGAATTTTATCTCATTATATCCTAGTACAATAAAAACAGAAGTCACTTGACAACAAGCTATAAATGTTGAGTTTGTTCACTGCTGTGGCACACAAAACACATGAGAAAGCACCAGATGGACAATTTTTGCCCAGAGAACCCCAATTCCTACACTTTAATGACTTGCTTCCCCCCAGTACTCTCCACGCCTCCCACCCAGGACTCAACCTCAGCTCCCTCCCTCCTACCTGGCTGTGCAGCTGCCAGGGTCTGTAGTCTTCCTCAGCACAGCGTCTATCGAAAATGGACTTGTAGTCCACTTTGACCAGCTGCCATTCAGAGCGGTGGCTGAAGTGTCCAAACACTCTGCAGAGTTCATGACGATAAAAATAATCACAATAACAGCAATGCTGACAGTTATACGCCATTTACTGAATGTTTGCTATGAGGTTAGCACACCGCTAAGCATATTACATCTTTTTTTTTTTTTTTTTTTGCGGTACGCGGGCCTCTCACTGTTGTGGTCTGTCCCGTTGCGGAGCACAGGCTCCGGACGCACAGGCCCGGCGGCCATGGCTCACGGGCCCAGCCGCTCCGCGGCATGTGGGACCCTCCCAGACCGGGGGACGAACGCACGTTCCCTGCATCGGCAGGCGGACTCTCAACCACTGCGCCAGCAGGGAAGGCCCAGCATATTACATTTGATATTACACATCACTTGATCCCCACACACATTTCTGAGGAGGGTTGCTATTATTGGCTCCACTTCACTTGTCGGTAACCTGAGGCTCAACGAATTTTGTTAACATGCAAAAACCAAAGTCAAATCACTAAGAACTGGTAGAGTCAGAACCCAGGGTGTTTGACTTAAAAGCCCACTTTTATATATTGTACAACAAGAATGGTTGACCAAAAAAAACACAACCAAAAAAAATTGAGAAAACCGTAGACACTGCCTTCTTTGCGGTCCAAGATTATACCTCTAGGTTCTCTTGCTAGAGTACATCGTTCCCATGGTTTCTATGCTATTTTACCTTCCCACCAGTCCCAAGGGAAAGTGGGCAGCAAGGCTGAGGAGTTATAACTACTTCCTACTCTGTGCATTCTATTCTCCTCACTCAGAGAGACTCAGCTATTTAATGAAGTGTTTAAATCACCTATTGTCGATATAAATAAAAGCCACAAAGTAGCCTTTTCAATCAACTTTTTTTCATCTGTGTCTTGCAAACATGAAAACTGAATGAAGACAAATTGCTAATCCAGCTATGTTTACCGTGGGCAAAATGTAGCTATTAGGCATATTAAATTTTTGTTGCTCTTTTCTATTGTTAAAAAAAAGGAGTAGGGAGAAAAAATTAGAAAACGTACCAGCTATTCACTTTGATTTAAAATTTTTCACTGCCGACAGGATCAACTGCTTTAAAATCTTCCCTCTCTGTTTTTCATGTCCAATTTTCCAGGAGAAGGAAAAATCACAGTTTCATATTTCAAATTCAAAGCTCATGTTTTGAAACCCAGAGGCAGTCGAGCCATTAATCAAGTCTTTCACAAATTAATGATCATCACTTTCCAGACAAGAATGAGTATAAATGCAATTTCCCCAAGAACAGACTGTTCTCGTGGTTTCCCTAATATGCCTCACCATTGGGTTAGGTAAAGAGCCAGGGGAAAATAACATCCTTTGTGGGGTTTTCACCAAGCTCTGCGTTCTGCCTTAAAGTGAAAATCACTCTTACGTGCCTGTCATTTTCTGTATATCAAGCATGTTTATTATTAAAGTTTTTAATTGATAGCTTTATTTTCTCTTGAAATAATCACTTCTCATTTCCCTAAGCCCGCTCAGTAGAGGAAGAAACAGGCTGTACCATTTTGCTGCCAGCCCTCAGCGTGGGTCTCCTAATTGCTAGTAAAGAGCCAAGAGAATGGAAGCCCACATTATTCTTTCCTCTTTGCTGTGGAATCATGAAGTCAGATGTACTGCCTTTGCTAGCAGTTTCAAACCTGACAGTAGCAATGTGAACAGGCTTATCTAAAAACAACATGTTTCTGGATCTATACTTAGACTAGAAGACATCATAGTTTCCACTTACGTCATGATTAGAGTCTCTTCCCCAGGCTCACCCAGAACTCCATCCACAAAAAGTGGAATAGATGTGAAACTGTATTTGCTCCAAGATCTCCCTTCATCAAAACTTAACCTAATGACAGAAAAAAATAAGTCATCGGATCTCAAAAGAAAAATCCTTTCCAAGAAAGGATACTACCAACCAGGGAGAATACGTTTTAGAAGTACCTGGGGCATTGTCAAAGTGAGCCTTTTATATGAATAAGTGTTCTTAATTACATCAGAAGGTAGATATACAGTTAGCCAAGCGATTTGGGACCCAGATGTATTATAACATCAATAAGGGGAGAGCTGCATGAAACGGGAATGATAATAAGTCTCTGATAGGATTTTTTTTAATTTCGATATTTTATTAGGCCTTAGAGTTCAATGTGACCCTCTCCAAAACCTCGTTACAATTTAGCAGCGAGTCTTACAGGTGATTCTGAGAACAATGGCCGTTATGAGACCCACTGAGACGGACTTGAACCAGCCACATCTATGTGATCAAACCCTTAGTGGTATCCTTCTTACATTGTTACAAATCCTGGTTGACTCACTGAGTAAATTGGTGCAGAAGGACAGACTCTTGAAAGTAAGAGAAAACTCTGCAACTCAGATGGTCACACAGGATGTTTCCTTTGCTCTGCCTTTCTCTAGGATGTCTTCCCCCAAGCTAAGCCTCTATTTCTCTTATTTCTGCAACTTTCCCTTTCGTCAGCAAAGTAACCAACAGTGGAGGGAAAATCAAGCCTTTGACTTTGAACAGCCCGCCTGTGGAGACAGCCATTTTCAAAAACACAGATGAAAGCGTTTATTGGAAACCCCTCTGGAAGTTAAGCCTTGAATGTCCGTCCATCTGTGGAAGACCTACAGGGAGAGTTGCAGAATATCACTGCCCCCAAAAGGAAGCTAAGGAAGTAGGATCAGGAGAAATGAGATCAGAGCAGAAGTGTCATGAACTGCTGATCTCTGTGCAGAATGCACATAGTGAATGCAAATATTAAACTCCAGGAGATGTTATTTGGGAAAGCTGGTTGCAAGAAATTAAGCTATTCAGAGATTATCCTTGCTAACCATTCTACCCATGGCTGTACTGAAAGAATAAGGTACCGGAGGTACTGGCGGGGGCAGGGGGCTGTCACATTTGAAAACCATAATACGGTTCCTCTCTAAAAGGCAGAATCAAGCTCCCTTTCTCTTCCCCTCTCCCTCTCTCTCTCTCCTTTCCTCTTCCTTCTTATTGCGGTAAAGCAAAGGTATAAGTTACGTTCTAGCAGACCTTGACAATTTACTACAAGCAAGATCACGGTCTGACAGCCCGACTTAGACTGGTCTTAGCTGTGCAGAACCATCAAGGTGCATGACTCATTACCAGAGATGTCGAATCGGGAGAGACGTATGCTTCATAGCAACCAGGACTCCACCTTGATCTAGATACAAAACACTGTGCTCTTCTTCAAAGATCTGGAAGAGGAAAAACACACAAACAGGGACACACACCCACAGCCACACACACCCAGGGTTCAGAGAATTAGTCTTCATTTGAGGAAAAAAATTCTCTCCATGACAGAACTGGGTTCCCCCAAAGCTGTGGGAAAATGCAAGTTATGAACAATGTTTCCCAATGCGGGCTCCATGTACCACTGGTGTTACATAAAATGATTTTTTGTGCTCCACAAGAGAAACTTAAGTAACTAAGAGTTATGTATTCATATTTATAATCCCATCTTTTTGTGGTAAGTTCTGTTGAGTCCCATTTATGATGATGTTGAAATATTGGGTAATTGTCATATTGGATAACATCTTTAGATGGAAGAAACATAAGAGATACTTTATTCCAACATTATCATTTTTACAGACGAGAAAGGTAAGGTTTAGAGAGAAGTGGTGACTCGCCTAAGGCCATGCAGGTGGGAACTGACGGCGCTGGGACTTGCAGCGTAACAGTGCCCTTTCCAGATGTAATTATTTCAAAGTTTCCAGGTATTACGGGGGGCAGATGTTCTTGTTCAACTCAACAGTAGTCATAAAGTAGTTGTAGTCATAAAGTCTGATCAAAATGAAATCTATCTTTGGGTACGTGTGTCATTGGGTCTCTCCCCATATGTGGAGAGATGAATCTGAGGTCAAATGGAGACCGGCTGAAAACAATTTCTAAGTCCTCTCCACACAAGATGCGTACTGTTTTCTCACAGTCACACTGTTAGTATAGCCTTGTCTTTGGTTACACTATAGACATCATTGTTTCCCCTTTGTTTACTTCTTATACCCAAGATGTTTCCCAGGACTATAGGAGAGGCTTCTTTGCTTTGTTTGGGATGTTAGAAGGAAAAAAAAAAAAAAGACACCCTGGCTCTCTATTGTCCATAGGAACCTTAATAGTCCATTATATAGCTCCTATATATCTCCAAGATCAAAAGCCCCGGAGTTTCTTAAGCAAGTTTCTTTCCTGCCCCACTCTTCTCAAAGCACGTGAATTGCAGTGCAGATCTATGAAGCTAGGAAATGGTAACGAGACCATAACATGGATATCTCTGTCTAAAATTTAAAGCAGTGTTCTTGTTGCTGTGTGATTACCTGTGCATTAGATTTCAATTTAAGGTGCTAGTTACCGTATGATAATTAAATGTCAGTGGCTTATTAACACATATTTATTGAAGTGTAACAACCATGCATTAGGCACATATCTTTTTATGACTCCTAAACCTCATTAAGTGCCTGTTTTATAACCTGGGAGTATCTAATTTTCATTCAGAAGAAAGAGGAAGCATTTAAGCTAAACACATTGGTTGAAAGTAATTCCATTTCTACTTTCCCTAACATATGCACCCTGATGGTTATTATTCTGTCTTTTGCCCATGAGCTTTAAACATCTCAGAATACCACCTGGGTAATGGTTATTTCTATATCACTGCATTCCCCTCGTTTCTGACTTCAAGGCAAGGGGAATTTATGGAGGTAACCCGGTGTTAGGTATATAATCTCTCTTCCAGGCTTCACGTTCCCTACATAATAAACTCCCCAGAATTTTAGTTTTCATTTCATGGGAAAAATTCAGTCATATCTAATTTGGTTTCATTGTCACTTATAAACTTTCCCACATATACGGTGGGATAAAGGGTCATTTTTATCAAACAAAGAAATCAAATTTCATAAATGTTTACTTAAGCTCAAAACATTTTGAAAGACATTCATAAAACAAAAAGGAAAAGAAACACATTGATAAGCTTTAGGATTTATGTGTGGCTGAATAAGTTCCCAGAATTGAACCAAGCTGGAGAATTTTTATAACATTTAAACTTCAGTAACCAGACCCAGGATACTTTCTTACCTGCCTCCAAGTGTTCCCTGCATCTGAAGAGACAAACATGCTGATGTCGCTGTCTGACAGCTCAGAACCTATGTTACCTGGAGAGAGCACATCACCATCAGTGAAGGGAACTTTTTGCAAAAGCTAACAATGGACTATGCTGGCAGTGTACATTGCCCGAGATGGATTTAGACTGCAAACATTATATCTGAGCAGGGTTTTTCACCATACTTGCCTCAGGGTCAATGGCTTAGGTGCCTTTCAAAAAAATTTTAACTTGCTCGTTAAGTTCCAAGCTCAGATATCTAACTTGTTAAAATAAATACAATTTACAGCAGTGAACAAACCAGGCAAGCTTCTTACCTGAAGCCACTATGATGCTGGGAGCTGTGTCTCGGCTGGCAATGATCCCTGATGTGTAGGGATTCTCAGAGACCTTAAGGTGAAGGTGTAGTGAGCAATAGGGCTGAGAAAAGGAGAAATGAGGGTCATAAAAGCACATCATTTAAATGTTCATTTAAAGCTCAGATTCAGAGCACCCGCCATTCATCCAACCATCCCATCTATCCACCTATCTACGAACCCATCCATTCACCCATCTTTCATTCCACAAATATCTGGTGCCACTAAGTATAAAACAGCTGCCAAGTTGGTGAAGGAGAGAGCACCTTCATTTTAAGTCTAATCTACTGATATAATTGCCATTTGGCCATTCAACAAACATTTTAGCACTTTATCTGTAAAACACGTGGTGTAGCTTATGAAAGAGTTACAGTGACTAAAGTTTGGTCTCTGACACCTAAGGAGTATATAATTTAAGATCCTTCTATTGATTATCAAAAGAGAATATTTTAATAGCCATGAGATCAGTACAGACAAAATATGAAATTCTAGAGGATGACGAGCCTATGCCCAACTTTGGATGAAGGGAATTTCCAGGAAAAAATGGTGCCTGAGGCAAAGGTGGGTAGGATATGAACTGCACATGAGATGTTCAGGAGGATAAAGGACATTTCAGGCCTAAGTAAGATCAATAATGAGGAAAAGAAACAGAAGAACTGAGCTGTAATACAACAGATAGTCAGGTAAGACCAATGAGGAGAAATGATATATGACATTGGAAAGAAAGTTTGGCCAGGCTGGGAGGGCTTTGAAGAAGTCACTTGGCATCTCTTAGACACTTGAAACCTTGGTCTCAGCTCTACAGAAGAAGCTATATGACGTGTGAAACTGTCCTGACATCCACCAGACAACTGACATAGCGTCTGTGTCAGGGTATTAACCGACCCAGTGTTATTCGATATAAATGTCATTCTTATAGACAAAATGCACTAGTAATAACAACTTAAATAAAAATTTAAGGGACTTGTTTGTGTGTAAAAATCTCGATCAACTTCTCAGATTAAGACATGCAACAGTTTTTAAAAACGGAATAATAAATCTTATACAAATTTCATTTAAAATAGTTCTTGTACTGAGTTGTCAAAAACTACAAGTTTGTGTCTGAACCCACATCTCTTTTCAACTCTCAGGAAGATTATTTTCTAATCTTATAGACTTGAGTTTTTGGAATCACCAATGTATCTCTGTTATTACTTTCATTCGGCTCTGTAAGTCTCAGCCAGCAGGTATTCAGAGCGCTACAGAGATACAATGATTACACGTATATGGGACACAGTAAATGACAAACTAAAAATGAAAATCAGGAATAAAAGCAGTCAAAACACCGCTGAAATAAAACAGTGGCTCATAATAGGGTCTTTTCCTCACTGCCAACACAGAGAGTAAACTCTCAAGGAATGATGATCGGGGCTTCCCTGGTGGCGCAGTGGTTGAGAGTCCGCCTGCCGATGCAGGGGACACGGGTTCGTGCCCCGGTCCGGGAAGATCCCATATGCCACGGAGCGGCTGGGCCCGTAAGCCATGGCCACTGAGCCTGCACGTCCGCAACGGGAGAGGCCACAAGAGTGAGAGGCCCACATACCGCAAAAAAAAAAAAAAAAAAAGGAATGATGATCGTAATAAATTATTGGTTTTGCATGAAAATTTCATGTAAAGCGTTCAAAAAAGGAATTTTTACTCTACAACGTTCCATAAGAGTAAGAAGACCACCCCTATAAGAAGAAACAATCAGACCCAAAAACTTGGCTTCCTTTTGTCAGAGGGGAAGACTAGAGTGGGTACTGTATGTTGTAGAGGCCCCAGGGCAGTGCTGACCAACACTCAGGCAGATGCTGAGAAAGGAGAAAGCAGAGGTGTCACACATTGTTCCATGAAAATTTTCCTGACAACTGCGGCCTGTCAGGATCTCCTTCTCGGATGTACCACAGTTGATTTTACCATACAATCCTGGATCATCTATTTGAGGTATGCAGTTTTATCCCCCTAAGAGAGATACTCTACAAATAAAGAGGAAACATCAAGTACTACTTTGCATCTTCTGTAAAACCTCACATAGAATCTAAAAAAGACAGTCAATAAACACTTGAAATATCAAGCAACACTTTCAAGTTAGGACACGAAAGACCTTACTTTACCGTTTTACTCAGAACAATGCCAGAAGTACATGGGCTCACATATAAACCACATCATCAAAATAATGTGAGGATCTCCATGGCATTCAAAACAGTGATCACTACTTGGGGATTATACCTAGACATATGGGCTTAGTGGAGGGCCTTTTGTACCCCCCAACAGAGCAGGACATCCCTGGCCCAGGGAGCACCCAGGCTGCAGTCTTGAGCCAGCCACTGGCCACGTACTTCATCACCCTGGAGTCTGGAAGATTGTGAACCTAATTTGCCACCTGACCCAAGGATTATTTGATAGAGGCCACTTGCCATTACAAGAGAAAGAGGGCATTTTCAATTAGCCGTTTCAACACTGCTCTGTTGCTCTGGCTTTCAGAGGCCTAAGATAAATTAATTTGGGAAGAAAAGACACCAGTTCATGCAGTAGCAGCAACATCAGAAATGATCTTTTTCGTGGACTTTTTTTCTCCACTCTCACATTTGTAGTACTGGATTGCCCCCAACTGGTACAAGCAAAATATTCTGTGGCTTTTTTTCTCCTTTCTTCCATTTTTTTCAAGGAAGTTATACAGTTCACATCAGTGTTTACAGAAAAACAATGTTAAGTGATTCACATTCACTTCTTTTAACTTAAACTTTTATACTTGAACAGCTTGAGACATTTATCAAAATTAAGTCACCGAAGATTAATACAGGGGTTGTTATAATGGCTATCAGGCCATAGCAAACTCCTGGAAAACACAAGACAAGGTTCTCCAATTCTTAGGCACATTTTTCCCAGGCAGGAGGCACTCTGTCCACCCCTGCCTTCCTGCCGCCTTCTCTCCCATTAGCGAACATATACTGAATATCCGAACATCTTTCCAGAGTTATCTCCAATTCAGTATGAGTTAAAACACAGCTTATCCCAAAGACCTTTCTCTATTTCCCTTGACTTTTCATATTAAAAACATAACAGAACTGTACACTGAAACCACCATGACCTAATAGCTGACCTACCAAGAATGGAGGGACCAGCATACATGTTTGGAAGCTGCCTGCTGTCCTGACTCACGCATCGTCCAGGGGCATGGGGTGATCATCAGTTGGTCAATACTCGGAGCAACTAGATCCTTAGTCTTTAATCTTTTCGGGGTCAAGTACGGAGTTTAAGAATCTGATGCAAATTGAGAGCTCTCTCCCAAGAAAAAGCACACAAAGGAAGCACACACACAGAGCTTTGCATTCAAATTCAGGGAGTTCACAAACTCTCAAAGCCCATCGTGGACCTCTAGGCTCCAATTACCTTTCTTCTGCCTTATTCTTTTATTTCTTATTTTAACCAACAAAATCTTCTGGCCCTTGCAGGTGTTCAGTAAATGCCTGTTGAATTCAACTGATCCATGAACGAGCTGAGCTGCTGTCTTCCTAGCACTGTGAGTGGCCAGTGGAGAAGTACTAAATGATGCAAGACATTCCCCCGCCATGAAATCAATCAACCTAAAACACTGTTCCGTATCTGAGAGCCAACCGGCTTCTCATTTCACTTCCTCTTTACCCCTAATCTCTGAATTAATAGCCTTTACATCTCATCTTCATGGTACCTTTAACCCGAAGGCTCCTAATCTGAATACTGTACTGAAAAGCCAGCTTAGAGCTTTCATAAATACGGCAGCAGGTAGGCTCCCAAAAAGTATTCCTCAAATCCACATCCTACACACACATTTGTGCAGTTTCTGATCCTGAGTTGGAGCATGGAATCCATTTGATTTTTAGTAAGGAGTCAATGGCAAAGTAGAGGGAGGTCTCTGGGCCAGTTGGCTGGGTATGGGGCATTCAGCACTGCTCCAATTCAGCAGAACATGGAGAGTCACAGCCAGTACAAAGGCGGGGGAAGCAGAATCGAGAGTCTCCTGGGGTAGCTGGCTGCTTAGCTCCAGTAGGAAACTACTAAATGAATCCACGAAGAAGTCACGGCCTCTCTCCATGAAACACTATGCTTCCCCTCAGGGCCTGAGGATTTGTCACAGGCTCAGCTCACATCTCGCCTCTCGGGAGCCCAAGCCTGAGGTTCTGGAGTCAGGTGGACCATGGCCTGTAACACCCCATCTAATTGTACAATGCAGTCTTCAGAGGAAAGAAATCCCTGCTGAACCCTCCAGGCAATCACTCTAAAAGTCCTAAAAATACAGCCTCAAATTACCCTGGATGTCTTATTTCTATAGAATACATTTTACCAGGAACATTCCATTTGGGGCTGCAATTCTGAACCTGTTCCACATTTGTAATAGCCCTGCTGGAAAAAAAAAATCTCTTTTCTAATCACTAGGCTGTGCTTTCGGTGACACTGTCACTTTCCAAGTATTCACAATCTAAAAATCACTTTTTGTCTCCTCTCTGCTACCAGCTCCCAAGCCTGAGGAAGGTTTTAACAGTCTGGGTCTCCTGGAGCTCAAAGATTTTCTTTCCTATTGTGTGCCTTGGCAGAGTTTTATAAAATTATTGTGGTTTCCCCTTCCTTCTTTCATTTTTCCTCTCCTCACCCTACTGCTGTTTTCTAAAGCTCAGATTAAAACTACATTAAACAACAGGGTTAATGGGGGAGGAAGGTCAAAAGACTCTTGGGTACCATACATCCATGTCTCATTAATTCCTCTTTCCTCAATCCTAACGAGCTTCTACTGATTTGGTCAACTTTGGGGTCAACTGATGCCCATGAGCTTCAGAAGGTGGATATTATGACAAATCTTTCAGTGTGACTATTAATGGCAAGGAAAGGCTCCCACTAAAGTCCAAATATGAAACTCAAACGTCTATTATCCCTGGCGTGTCTGCTTCAAAGACAACACCCTCAACAATAGATGTGTTGAGCACCTACCATGTGTCAAGTATGATTCTTGAGCTAGTTCTTTGGAATGACCAAAAAGACAGCCACAGTCCCTATGCTCATGGAGCTCACAGTGCGTGGGGGAAGGTGGACAAGCAAGTCACCAAATGCATGTGCTGATTTAAGAGAGTGAGGAAGGTCACCAATAAAAAAGACTGGACCAAGTGCAACTTCAGAGAATGCTCGAGGAAGCTCTCCGAGATGAAGGTAATCAAGCAAAGGTCTGAATGCCAAGAAAAAAACACACTAGGAGAGGGGCATTTTAAGAGATATAACAGCAAAGGCAGAGCCTGGGACACAAATGAGGGCGGTGAGCTAATGGTATGGAAAGGTGCGCCCTTCTCCCCCACTGTGGCCTATACAGAAGGAAGGAAGGAAAGTCTGGAGACCAGGCAGGAGAAACAGACAGGGGCCAGACCTTGTGGAATCTTGCAGGCCATGTTAAGTATCTGAATTTCATTCCACCTGAATTAGAAAGTCATTAGAAGGTTAAGTGTAGGAGGGACATGCTCTGATTTTTAAAGCTCAGGTTGATACCATTTACATAAAATTTTAGAAAAGAGCAATCTAATCTCTCCTGAAAGAAAGCAGATCAGAGGCTGTCTAGGGGCCAAGGGTGTGGATAGTGCCTGTGAAGAGGCACAAAGCAATGTTTTAGGGTGATGAAAATGTTCTGTCTTGACTGTGGTAACGGGTCTATACATTTGTCAAGATTTATCACTGAATTCTTAAAAATGCGTACTTTTTATGTATGCATGTTTCAACTCAGTAAAGTTGGATTAAAAAAAAGGTTGCATTGGCTGCTATGGAGAGACGAGATTGCCAGGTAGAGACAGGAGGAACAGCCTGTCACTGTTCCCATGAAGGAAAGGGGAAGGGAAGAATGATGGTGGCTTATATTAGGATGGTCCCAGCCGAGATGGGGATGTGAGCTGATACTGCATTTATAATTCAGAGGCACAGCAGCAAGACTTCCTAACGCTGGGCTGGGGGTGGAGCCAAGAACACCTCCCAAAGTGCTCTGTGTAAGAGGCATTTCTAATGGCCCATTTATGATGCCAGAGCACCCAGGAAAGCCTCTTCAGGTGATATGGTTAATTCTCGCTCATGGACGTTCAATCACCAAAACACATGATGGGATGGAGGACCACGTTAAGACACTGGTGCATCTCATGCATCTTTGGCTAAAATACCACATTGCTCCAGTGTGGAACTGCTGAAGGAGGAAGGTGGGCATGTCTTTAAAAGGCTACTGAAGCATGTCTTGTATAGAGTAGGCATTCAGTAAGTGACTGTTACATTTACTTACTCTGTAACTGGATTTGTGTACTTGCTCTAACAAATGGCTTTCCCCCACACTCCACCTCCGTAAGTTGCCAGTAATAAGGACAGAAGCTGAGTGGGAGGCTGAATTTCAAACTGCTTCCCCTGATGCGTGGTGACAACTGCGATATCCTCTGCAACTAATAAGGTCAAGCTATGGCTGCTGGCATCTTCTCGACTGGGAGGGTGACCCGCCTACAGCTGTAGGAGATGCACCTGCAAAGTGACTGCTCAGACTTCATGGGACAGAAGGAAGCACGCTGAGTGTGCAAAACATTAAAGTTGAGATTGTATGACGGGTGGGAATATTGATATAAATCAAGCCCTTCTTACTAAAACTAAGAGGTGTCTCCTCTAGCTTTACAGACTGGTCTCTCCTTTTCAGGCATTTAAATACAACTTTGGAATTGTTTTCTAGAAATTAGCATTTAATGATTCTTTGTTTTACAAGTAATCTCTTCTTCCCCTCCTTCTTCATTCACTCGTAACTATTCATGTGTCAAGTACAGGGCAGGCCCCAGAACTACTAAGAGGAGTGAGATGTGACCTTATAATCTTTCACTCATTAATCTATTCCCCCTCAGGTAGACAGCAAACTCCTTGAAGGCAAGACCCATTTTTGATCCCTCTCTTGGAGACCATCATATAATCAAATACACAAATACATTGATCTGATCTACCTATTGCCCAGATGTTAGACAATTTTTAAAAAGCCATACTTCAAAGCAGGGGTCAACAAACTTTTGTTTTTAAGGGCCAGATAATAAATATCTTATTGGTGGACCGTACAGTTTCTGTCATGACTACTCAAGTCTGCCATTGTAGAGCAAAAGCAGCCATAGACAATATATAAATGAATAAGCATGACTACATTCCAATAAAACTTTATTTAAAGAAACAAGCAGTGGGCCCGATTTGCCCCACAGGCCATGGTTTACCAACACCAACTTTATACAATGACGTAAATGAATGGAACATATTATAAAGAGTACTGATTAAGGATTTAAATCAGTGGTTCTTACCTTGGTTTGAGGCATAAATTCCTCTGAAAATATGAATAAACATCTCTACTGGAAATTACACCTACACAATTCTGCATTCAGTTCATCAATTCTACAGCTGAATTTATGTATCATTAGATCCAAAACAGGTTATTCCCAGGAAAGTAAGGGTATGTTTCCCCACCACAGATGGAAACTATCATACTCTCCCTTAAACTACAATATGAGGTCCTCATCAGAAATTGGGCATCAACTGAACATCCTTAAAATGAGCAAGAAACTTACTCATGTTCTCTTATCACTTTGGTCCAATCACAAGAGGCAGAGCTACGCTTCTTTCCTACACACTGCCTTCACACCCTTCCCTGTCCCCTTCTGTTCATCAGCTGAGCAAGAAGCCCTGGAAATATGTTCCTCTGCTTGGCGAACCTCCATCTCCAGCCCTCACCGTGTGGGACATTTTGCCCCAATACGGAGACTCACCAGCAAGCAGTGCACAGGGTCCCCCCTTAGGTCCGTGTCCGGGGCCTGCAGCAAATGCCAGTCTCTGCCTTTGTTGTACGTGATGAAAGTCTTCACTTGGTTGTCAATCTTCTTGTTAGCCAAGAACATTCCCTTTATCCCTGCTACCTGGGAAAAATCGACATGGCTGAAAAATACATCAATTTAAGAAGAAATCTATTTGTTTTACTTAAAAAAAAAAAAAAAGACTGTCAAATTCAGCTGTGAGCCCTTGTCTTGGAGGAAAGAGGGTGAGGGTCACGCTTGTGTATAATGACCCCCTGGGACAGAAGACAACAGACCCGTGCCCCTTGTGGTATGAGGGTCTTAATGCAAATTTGATAGAGGCTTCTTATCTCCCCTAAGGTAGGTTGGTAGTAGCTTACTGTTGCCTACAGATAAACTCTAATGCTGTTGGTTCTGTGCTTGACAAATGATAAATAAATAGGGGTTACTTTTATTTTAGGCATAGCACTCATAGTCTTAAATACTCTATCTCACTTAATTCTTATAATGGTCCTTTTGGATAAGTCTCACTTACTCTGTTTCACAAATGAGGAAACTAAGGCTCACTCAGGTAAAGTGACTTGCCCAAGGTCACAATGCCTAATGTTATACAGATAGTAAGTGGTGCATCAGAGATTTTAACCCAGAGCTCTGTGGCTTCACAGCCCCTGCCCTTAATGACTAAATCACTGCACTACCTACAGCCTTGGGCAATTAAAAGAGGTCAGTTAAAACTCAGGATCCAATTACTGTTACTCTTCTTTTTCTGTAAAAGATCTCTCTATTAAGCTACCAAAATACATTGAGCAAAAGAGAACAGCTTTTAAACTTAAAGAAGCAGTGGTTTCCCTAAATTGTCAAATAATCCCTCCTCCACTTCTATAACACTATTGTTCCTACTATAAACAGTCCTTATTAATTATTTGGCTCTGAAAATATGATTGCCTTCTCTCTTGTTTATACCTTAGGAAAGAGGTAACAATTGAGAAGTTGCCAAACTGTGCAGTAGCAAATCATTAATTGTGTCGTGTTTTTCATGCGTTTTAGAACTTAAGAAACATATTTATATGTATTTGACTCTGCTTGAAATTATGACAACCCAGGAAAACTTGAGGGCAGTGAAAAAAGGGTCTGAAATATGTTGACAAGTGCATTTCAACACTATGCAAAGGTTATCCTATTTAATGCTCACAAAAGCCAGGAGATATAGTTACCATCAGCCTCATTTGAGGATGAGGGAACGGACACTTAGATTAAGTGTCTTTCTGGAGCACAGACGGAGTAAGTGAATAAGCTAGCAAGCATATTTGAACCCATTTAACTTAACTCAGCCCCTTTATATTATAATATGAAAATTTTTAAGCAGAAGGATGAAACCCTGGTATCAGTCCTTGTCACATATGAACCACTATACCTAGTACTTTATATGTAAAACCTCCAATATTCACTATAAACCTGCATAACAGCTATTATCCCGATTCTATAGACGAGGAACCCAAGGCATAAGGAAAATTTAATTGCTTAAGATAACAGAGAGTTGGGGTTCACACCCAGATCTGTTGGACTTCCAACATTCTTTCAACAAATACAGCTCTGTCAATTCAAAGAGGCTGGGCTTCGATCAATAGAACATGCACATTTTGCCTTTGCTTTTGACACAAACCTCATTAGTTTGTACCTGCTGTTTTGGCATCTGGGATCATTTAGAGTTGAGCCAACTTTGTACTCCTTTGGAACAACAAATCTGTTAAGCAAATAAATGGTATAAACGAGTTTCTGGGCAGAATACTGTGAACTACTTAGGAAAACAAGCCTCATTTGGGGCCAGTAACAGTAGCCAGAACACTTTCTTATGCATTGTGGATCCCCCATGAATGTGGAAGATGTAAATTTCCAGAAGTACTCTACCTCCCAATAACGATATGTTAATTACAAATAATATTTATTGATAGTTATTCACTATTTCGGCTCCATAAGGACTACGCACCAGGGAAGCTCATGCTGGTTTCGCATATGTTCGAGAGGCTGTTACATATTTAAATGACTAAACTGCCAATTCTTTAAAGATTCAATTTCACAAATCAGAATTTTCCTGCAGTCATACCTGTCTTCCCTCCACAGCAGTCCCAAACAAGAGAAATGACACTGTCATAACCATGCAACACTCTAGAAGTTTACAAGACGTACAGAATGGATAAAAATATTACCCATCCCAGTAGTTCCCTTCCCCATTTCCCTCCCTGCCCTGTCTCTCTTTTGGCACGGGTGTCAGAGCAGGGCTGTGCGTGTTTAGGAGCTGGTGCATTTGGGACTTCCCTGGTGGCACAGTGGTTAAGAATCCACCTGCCAATGCAGGGAACACGGGTTCGATCCCTGGTCCGGGAAGATCCCACAAGCTGCGAAGCAACTAAGCCCATGTGCCACAACTACTGAGCCTGCGCTCTAGAGCCCACGGGCCACAACTACTGAGCCCTCATGCCACAACTAGTGAAGCCCGCGTGCCACAACTACTGAAGCCTGTGTGCCTACAGTCTGTGCTCCACAACAAGAGAAGCCACCGCAGTGAGAAAACTGTGCACTGCAACGAAGAGTAGCCTCCGCTCGCCACAACTAGAGAAAGCCCACACGCAGCAATGAAGACCCAACTCAACCAAAAATAAATAAATAAATTTATTTTTTTTTTAAAAAAGGAAGCTGGTGCATTTGATCTGCAGAAGCGGTGAATTTATTGGCCCCCGACTGCATGGCATTATCAAATGCCCCTTGAGCAGACAGCCTGTGCTCTGAAGTTCATCTCTGGCAGCCTGGGCTTCAGGTTTATCTTGAGGAATAGAAACTTGGCAAAGCTGAGGGAATGTGTCACAATAGGGTACAGAGCTAGAGAGTGTCTTCTTATTTTCCTCTTGTTGCCAAGGCACTTAACCTGTGAAAATCCCACTTGAGGTGTCTATCTATCTATCTATCTATCTATCTATCTATCTATCTATTACTTATTTGTTTTGGCTTCTTTGGCCTGGTCTGCAAAGATGGTCACCCCTGCTTGCTCTTAGGGCTTTGTGCCATTCAAGGTTCCTTTTCCCTGAGCCTGAGAAGTCTATCTGTCTACGTGTCTCGGTGCTTGCCTATTGTGAGGTCTCATCATATGTCTCTAGAACCTCTACCCTCTTACTGTAGAACTTTGCATACCAAGGGAGCAGTATTAGTGCCCAAAATGTGGAATGTGTGTGCATGGGTACTTGTGTGTACATGCATGTATATTAGAGTGTGTGCGTGTGTGTGTGTGTGTGTGTGTGTGTGTGTGTGTGTGTAAGGTCTGGGCTTCTGCTGAGGATGAGGGACATGTTTCTGTTGCCAGACAACCTCCCTCTGCATCCACAGCATGTAGACTGGGGCGGAACCGTAGTGGGATGGGGCAGGGGGTGGGAGGAAAACTACTATTCCTACTGGAAGACATGCCTTCACATAGACACAGAGTTCTAAGGGACATATTCCTATGAGGATGGCACATCTCACTGTTGGAAGTTTGTCTCCCTTCAGGGAGAGAGCTGTTATTAGCTTTTCTACCTTTCTGAATTCTGCACCAAGATGCCGAGTGTGTTAAGAAGCCACTTTTCTTTCTCTGCGTCTCATACGGGGGAGTTTGATACCAGAGGTTTCAAAGGTATTAGTAATTATTTCTTCTTCTCTAATATCATATAAGCCAAAACAACATTCTGATTAGATTTTTAAATATGAAGTGTTACAGCCCAAACCTCAAGCCAACACAAAGTACAACAGCACACTGACCATTCCCCGGGGTGATAGCCTCAAAATGCTACCTTCCCTTCTCTCCTCTTACTTTCTTTGATCGCTTCCTACTCTCTTAGACAGCATCCCAACATGCCTCTCCCTGTCTATCCTTCAAGGCCCAGCTCAGTAAGCCTTCCTCCAGAAACCAGGACCTCTTTTTCATCCTGACTGTCCCCAGCTCTTCTTCTCTGTCCTCCAATTTGTATAGATGGTACCTACATCTTTGCTCTCAACAACCAGGTAAGCTTCTCAAGGGCATCAGTCTTCCTGGAAACGTCTCTTGCACTCCTAACACTCCTTACCACATGTTAATTCTTCATAGATTCTCTTGTCATCTCTCACATCACTGTCTCCCACTTGAGTATAACTTTTGATTTATCATTCAATCCACCATATTCCCTCATTAAAATTAGTAACTGAAAAGTCACTTTGTACAAGAAGTCCTTTTTCTTCGTTTTTAATGAAATAGGTAGAATTCTGCATTAGAAGACCGAACAACATTAATAGTGCCCCAAACTTCTTGAGTATTTAAGAAATATCAGACACTACATGAAAGGCTTTGCAAGCCTAAGCACATCAATCTAAGTGGTAGACTTGATACATCCTCATTTCACACATGCAAGAACCAAAGTCTGGATGGCGTCAGTCCCTTGCCTAAGGTCATTCCCTGGAGAACCTTAGCAATGGACTCCACACCAGTCTGTCTATCTCAGAGCCCAAGCACTTAACCCTTTGGCGGTACTAGTTCTTCAAACTTCTTTCTCATCCTAGAGCTTCCTGAGAGAAATATCATATATGGACATTATAGGAAGTTGCCTTTCATTCATTCTTTAGTACATGTACTCAATAGTTGTTCAATTAATATTTTTTGAATGCCCATCACTTATCATGCATTCTAAGCACTGGAAATATAGCACCTAGAATGTCTAAGTAACTTTACAGTCATGCAGCAGGGTTTTTTTTTTAAGAGTCAGAATGTGCTAGGTGCTGAGACTTGGATTTCTTTGGTGATTTAAAGAATGAACCCCAGATATCTTCTTTGTTTTTTAATATTCACCTCTAGAGGGTACTCTCCAGTCCTGATCTTCCATATGTTCTGCACAGAGGTTAAGTTGGGAAGATCTTACACAGGAGTTTTTGCTTCTTTCTGCCTCCGATGCTGATTGGGAGCTGATTCCTCCCACCCTCTCTGTCTCAGACTTTAATTACAAATCTGAAGTGTCAAAATTTGAAGAGAATAAAAATATGAATCAACAACAATGGCAAGAAAGAGAACATATTCATCACGATGATTTATTTGGGCTTTGGAGATAGGATATTTTTCTGTTCTAAAG